TTTTTTTTTTTTTGTTTTCTGCAAATCGAATTCGCATTCCAGGTTGGTTCATTCCACATAGAAGAAAAGATGAAGATGATTCACGCTCCTTAACAATGTATATATAATTTTCTTTGAATAAACGTTATACATAAAATTTTTTGAGTATTTTTTTTGACATGGAACACATTATCGTATTTTATATTAATTTATATGGGAAAAATTGTTTCGCTTAACAAGTGTTTCACATTAGGAGTAAGATTCTGGAACAAATTATGCTCGTTAAGCGAGGTTCCACTGTATATTAAAATTTTTGTGTTTACTTTGTGTCATTATGATTACAACAGGTTCTAACAGTAAGCTTTTCTTCATTCATTTCACAACTGTAAAATATAAAGCCTACTGAATTTGAAATCAGTTTCACTGATGAAACAGAAAGGCACGATTTCTTAAAACGAAGTAAAACTAAATGTAAATATATCAACCTACAGCAATATTAGTAAATTTACATGGAGTTGTCAAGTAACTGAGATACCTAGGTGAGTGCCTGTTATCATTAAAAAAAAAATCAAACTCTGATCATGTACACTGAGAAGATTTTGAATGTTGGGAGAGTGATTAATGTATTTTCATTGCTGAAGGTGCCTTACCTCCCAACCTTCTACCCTCTGCTGCCAAGCAGCAAGCTTCTCCAGGCTCTCCATTCTTCGTTTTCGTTCATTAATGAGAACAGCAACATTCCGCATAGCATCTAATGCCTCCCGGATTTTGTCATAATCTGCATGGTCAGCCTAAAAACAATCAATTTCCTTATTTTAAAACAGATTTTATGTTTCATATTTCAGCATATCTAAATTTGTAAAAACACAAGATATACAAAAAAATTCCCCATAACAAGAGTTCATAAAATTCCAAAAATCTGTCATGATGGATTCTCTTGATGTTCATATCGATTACTTAGAAGTGTAAAAATTCTTAACAAAAAACAAAAAAATGCACTATATATATATTCATTCCTTTCTTTTTTTTTATCATGTAACTGTCCCACTGTATACTAACCCATTATCTATAGAACAGGTCCATATACCATTTGGACAGATTAAGGGTTGGCTTACAGAATTATTCTATCCTCTCACAACATAATTTTGGCTTTTCCTCTGAGATTGACAGGAACATTTCACCTGAATCTTAGATTGACTGAGTAACACGCTTTTGCAACTCACGTATTCTTGGTAGAAATGTGCAAGACTACAACATTCAAGATAAGAGTCAAGAAAAAAATCTGTCTTCACTGAACATTCACTTTTAGGTCCCAAACTTTGATAACTTCCATACAACTGCTTTTGCCTTGTGCAGCAGCGCACCAGCTACGTGACCCATTGGAACTGTAATGGTGGGAAACAACCTATATATGTATAATAGTCTTTCTTGAGAAGCTAACTATTGCTCAACTTCCCAAGAAATTCCCTACATTTTACAGAACCCAAAGTACATCACAGATGTCCACAACAGTTCATCACAGTTCCCTATCTTGAGCCCTGTTAGGAATTGAGACTTCTTTCCCCCTTTAATTCCTTGACTTATGATCCATGACTGTATAGCGTTTGCTCTACTAGTTGTTGCACGTTATCTGCCAGGCAGTAACGATGTTACCATGGTAACGCTACAGTGACAGTTCAGGTACAATTGCTTAGCAACAGTGAGTAAACAGTCGTTGCTATGTAAGGTCTTGGTGGAAGTAAAATATTGTTACATAACGCTTGAAGGTTGGAATTGTGGACTCAGCATGACGGGATAACGCATGCATTGCCAATAAGCACATCCCTACTGTGATGCAACAGTAGAGGAGCTGTGCTAGGCAACGAGACAGTAAACACTTCCCTACTGTGATGCAACAGTAGATGTGCTGCTGGAGGGGACATTTCCCACTTGTTCGATTTGAAGTATAACAAGCAGAGCTGAGGACTGAGCTGGGGCAGTGGTGTTGACAGAAGCCCAGTGGTTAGCCAGCACGGAGAGATGGACAGTTCTACAGTCTAGTGAGAGTTGTTAACACAAAAACTAGCGACTGTGAAACAACCTGTTCAGCATTTTGTGTTATAGTTACGTAGAATTGTAGTTACGGCATTGAGTAATAAAATGACGTTGCAAGAATACGCCTCGAGGTCTTATTTCACGACAAGCTCAATCAATCCAGTCCACACTCACCAATCTGTCTTTTTTGTCTCAGGTTTTTCTAGCAAACTTCATGTATTGGGCACTAAATATCCCACCTATGTCACCCTTAATTTGGTGAGGAGTACAAATTATGAAGCTCCCATTATGACATCTTCTCCAGCCTCCTGTTACATTCTCCCTCTTAGGTCCAAACTTTCTTCTCAGCATAATTTTCTGAGATTTTCTATGATGGAAGATTTTCCTTCTTTAAAATGAGAAACCAAATTACATTCCCAAGAGGCAAAATTATAGTTTTGTAAATGCTGGCACAAATCTACTTCCCAGCAAAATTTGAGTTTATCTCTCTAACCCCCTCCCTCCCTCTTCAATGGCCATGGTGAAAAAGTATCTGATGTAAAAGAGTGAAAAAGCCAGTGTTATAAATTGTAACTCCAGTGAAAAACTGGTCCAGAAGAGAAAATGCTCATTCTCATCTTGATTCTGAACATTGCCCAAATTCTTGTCTCAGCCTGCAGTCCTCTTCTCACCTACCTAACTTCAGTGTTATGTTATTTTTTCACCAGATGCTGATTTTTCCAGAAATAATCCCAGTCCCAGTGTATTTTCCTGTACCCCATGATTTCAACCCCAGTAAGTTAAAATGCATTCTTAAATGCACAGAAAACTGAGGCAAATGAGATTTGTAAGAAATTGTACCATCAGAGGTAAATAACACAAACAGAGATCATCTATTAACTTTACATATAATTTACACTAAACAATGACATAAAGAAACAGCCATATCATTATATTCAGCACTTCAGTTTCTTGTTTCATCTTCAGGCATTATTACACAGACAGGTATGTCTAATTTTATCTTTATTCTCAGGGACTATCTAACAGACCTCATGAAGATGATCTGTACTTTACTGCAAATTTCAACTTTCTTACATTATATATTATAAGAGCAAGCCAGTATAGCGACTGGCTATGAGTTGGACAACCAAGGGGGTGGAGTTCAAGTCCTGGTAGTGTCAAGAATTTTCTCTTCACGTTGCCCAGACTGGTTCTGGGGTTCACCCAACCTCATAACCAATGGGTACCAGGGGCTCTTTCCCTGGGGGTAAAGCGGCAGGGGCATGAAGCTGACCACTCACCTCCAACTAATGCCGAGGTCAAGCAAATGTGGATCTATACATCCACTCTCCCAATATTCCTTCATGGCATAGTGCTTAATGAATTAATGAAGAAAAATTTATTATTTAAACTGTTACTGGCAAGTCCAAATATCCTAATTTTTCTTCCATTCCTATAAATATCATTATCTTCATATAGTACCTGACACTCTTCTACATGCACAGATCAACTTCACAAAATAAAAGGAAGAGAAAGGAATGCAAACAATGAAAAGAGAGTCATATAGAAAGGATGATGCCCATTTCACTCCCAACAAAAGAAGGCAAATTGGAAACACAGCTACTGCTGTATGTTGCAAAAACTCCAATTCCTTTCTTTGCAAAATATTGCAGAATGGAAGTGTCATGTGTCATGGAATAAAATTGAAAAAATATAAAGCAGAGATCATATTTAAGGAGAAGCATACAGGATGGTCTCCTTGTCTTCTCAGATATGGAAGATATTGCTGTCAAACGCTCTTGTAACAACAGATTGTATCAGTTGACATCTTACAAAACTAACTTGAAACAAATATTACTGCGAATTTCAATACTGTATATACTTGGAACATGCTGAAGAAATTATGCGCAGCTGGAATGTCCTCAGGCTAGAGATGGAGGAGACAACTGCTGGATTTAGAGTGTGGCTGTAACAGCCAAATAAAGAGCTGTGGAAAACTAATGTGGAATGGTCCTCCAGCTTGGGGTTAGGTGTCTGGCCAACAGTCCCTCACAGTAAAAAGCTAATGTGTTACAAATTTTTATAATGATTTAGCCTGTTTATAACAGTGAAGTTCTTATTCTAATAACATCATACCAAATAGGCCTTTATGGTATAGTCTATTTCATTATAAATGTCAGCCTTGTTTGGCCATCATCAGCTGGAAACCAATATACATTACATTACATAACAGAACTGCAGACAGAGTAGAAGATTAGTTTTTATACAAAATGGAATTGATATAAGAGATTAAGTACAATAGACCACTGTAGGTCGCGGTGCAAGGGCCGAGAAGGCCCACCCCTTATACATTCATACAATATAAGAGATTTATCAATAAGTTAAAAAATAACTATAATTTGAAAACAGTGGTATGATGTAGCATATCATTTTACGTCTACATGTCACTGAACCATGTGGTATAATTATTAATTGATAACCTAAGGTTCAGTCTTTTTAAAAAAACGTGAAAGAATAGTTTCTTTTATAAAATATATTAATCAAATTTTTACCAGGTAATCGTTAACGGAATTTCTAATCTAATGTGTTACAGTATCCTGTATTTCACTGTATTTATGTAAAGCAGAATTTATGTAATATATCACGGGGAGATGTTTGGTACTCTTTGTTCCCCATATAAGTTTCTAGGCCACTATACTATCATGGACTGATTATCTTTCAGCTTTTTGTCTTATAAAGATAAGTAAATTTGGCAGGTATATATTCAGCTTCTACTTAATATATGGGGGATACCATTTTTAGATGATCCTAGTGACCTATGCCCTTCTAGTGCATGACTAGTTACTGTCTCAGTATATATCTAAGGGCCTATCATACGAGGGGGTACCCAAAAGAAACCGAACTTATTTTTTTTAAACTTATTTATTCAAATTTTTAGCACAAACCTTCAATCCCCTTCAAAGTACTCTCCACTTACACTAATACACTTGTCTAGTCTTTTATTCCATTTTTCAAAACATTGTCTAAATTCATCTTTTGAGATGCTTGACAGCGTCTCCGTCGTTTTTTACTTTCATGTCTCTTTTCATTCGAGGAAACAAAAAAAAAGTCGCACGGGGCAAGGTCGGGTGAGGAACAGGGGTCATACCATTTTTGGTCAAGAATTGTTGTACAGACAGGGCTGTGTGAGCAGGGGCATTGTCATGATGGATAAAACCAGTCACCCGACTGCCACAAATCTGGCCGCTGAGCTCCAAGTCACTCCCGACAGCTCCACAATTTCTTTAATGGTCCGTCGTCGATCTTCCTTGATGATTTCACGAATGTTTTCAACAGTTTCATGTGTTCGGGCCATGGAAGGACGACCAGAACGAGGTCTGTCATCAATTAACATTTCACCATTTTTGAAATGGGAAAACCACTCAAACACTTGAGTTTTCCCCATAGCATCGTCCTTGTACGCCGTTTTTAACATTTCAAGAGTTTCTGTTCCACTTTTCCCGAGCAAAAAGCAGAATTTAACTGCTGCACGCTGTTCACGAAAATCAGCCATTGCAAAAACGACGATCACACAAAACAGTTGTCACTATAAACTCTGCCGAAACTAGTCCTTACCTTCTGAAGCAACAGTAGTCGGCTTATCGACTCAGGAATGTTATCTCTATGGGCTCATAGCGGCAAAACGTGGTACTACAAAAGCTCTGCCCACAAAAAAATTAGTTCGGTTTCTTTTGGGTACCCCATCGTACATTGTAAAAAGCTAGAAATAAGTATACTACATAATTAAAAACCACAGATAGAACAGCCTTGATTCATTAACTTAATTACTTTGGTAGTTACTCTTCTCTTAGAAGTGATCCCTAAAATCCCCTACATTAACCTTTAACGCCGAATGTTATATATATGCGGCAGGACACTGCTCTCTTTGGGAGTGGTGACAGTTTGACCTTGGGTTTGAAACCGAAACAAATAGTAAGGTCCTGTCAGTGGTTCATTCCTTAGCTCTGAACAATGAAATCGTTTAACACAGTACTGGTTTCAATACTATTTTCGTTTAGATATGACTGTTTATGACCTGGTCAGCCAAATATAGCCCAGCTTTGTTTCGAGAACTGATGAGGAAATATTCATCGGTGCTTGCATATGAGTGCTTCCAGAGCCTTCAAGGATGTGTGACGCATTCAAGGATTGGTTTTCAGTGGCGAATTATCAGTCAGGAAGTCAGTGTCGGATTGTCTAATATTCTTTTATCAGTTAGAAAATCAGCGTCAGACTGTCACATATTTCTTTATATGTATATCATTTTTATTTTGCGTCTTGGAAGAGGTATAAACCTACTGAGCCAGTATTACTTTGTGAGTAAAAGGCATCTTTGCCACTGTGACTTTCAGTATCAGTGTCGGACTGGCACCCTTTTCGACTAGTATTATAATTACTTTGCATCACTATTTTGCGAGTATTACTAATAGGTGAGTGTGTTGCTTTGTCAATCAACATAATTTATTCCATTTTGCTAGAACCCCCTTCCCCCAAGACAATTCTTCAATCACACAAGGCGAATATCATGGTCAGTGGCATTTCTCGGGGGGAGGCCAAGGTTATCTGGGGCCCAACTGAGTCGACTGGAGGTGAAACATTCACAACACTAGCCAACCAAAGAGAAACAAAGACGTCATGTGTTTCACTAAATAAGAAAAGCAGGAGCATGCTCTTCTATTGTAAAAAGTGTGATTTTGCTCTGTGTGAGGTGGACTGCTTCGAGAAGTGCCACGCGCTTCAGTGTGAGTATCGTAGTGAAGTGACTGTGAAGTGATGCAGTTCAAACTCGCATACAGTAATATTATTGTATATAGTGTGATTATATTTACAATATCACCAAGTCTCAAAGCTGAATATCACAAGGCGAATATCATGGTCAGTGGCGTTTCTTGGGGGAGGCCAAGGTTACCTGGGGCCCAACTGAGTTGACTGGAGGTGAAACATTCACAACACTGGCTAACCAAAGGGAAACAAAGATGTTGTCATGTGTTTTGCTAAATAAGAAAAGCAGGAGCATGCTCTTCTATTGCAAAAAGTTGATGCTGCTTTGTGTGAGGTGGACTGTGCGTCAGAGTGTATAGTAAACCGTGAAGTGACACAGTTCAAACTCGTGTACAGTCTGAACAAAATATTATTGTATATAGTGTGATTATATTTACAATATCACCATGATTCAAGGTTGAAGAAAAAACAATGGGTAAATCCTTTGGAATTTCATAACATATATAAAGATTATATTTTGCACTTCATGACAAAATAATCACAGTTAATTTTCGTTTGTAAAAATTGCTCTCTTGTGTATATGTAGAAAATTTTATTGTCTTTCAGGCTGTTTTTAGTTCATATTTCTATGTTGCATTGAACGGAAAATATGCATTTTTTTCTAAAAGGTTGCAATGTTAATTAATTAGGTCGATTTAAATACCGGCCGCAGAGGGCTGCCGGCAATTTAAAAGTCCGTATGTTAAAGGTTAAGATCAAGTGATGTATATTATGTATGTGCAAAGCTATTAATTTCAATCAGTTTTTTGCCTACACATACTAAAGGTACAGGAAATGTTCTTACAGTGCTTTCACCAACATATGCATACCTTTGTATATTTGAGCAACTCAGCCAGCTGAAGAGGATACTTGCAGATACGCTGAACAGGTGTGAGCAGGTAGCCGTCAAGAGGAATCTCAATAAGCCCACGCATCAGGCGGCAAGCTTCAAAGAATTTACTGTAGCTGTTGTGCTGATACAGTTCCTGTAGAGTAGCAGTTGCCATTGGATGGCTGTTACAGTACTCAGAGTAAATCTTGAACCCAGATCGCTGAAATTGTATGAAGGAACTCATTATCTACTCTTTGACTATGTGTCTGTCAGTTAAGACTATTCCACTGTAACATATTAAAGTCTCTTTTTATTATGAAATTATTATTATTATTATTATGAAAAGATTAAATAAGTTGCAACTTTCCTGTAGGTGATAATTTCATGTAATTCATCTGCTAGTGTATTCCCTTATCTTTAAGAATTCAAAATATGCTACTACAAATATTATCTATATAAACAATTTACATCACTTAAAAAAATAATTAGTATTTATATGCAAAAAGTTATTATATGTCTTTGCTTTGGGCACTCATACTGTTTTTAAATGTTTATTGCAATTTGTATCGGCTAAAACTTCAGAACAAGGTATGCTGTAGAAAATATGTAGATTTCTTGTAACTACAAGACCCAGTTTAATCCAATGTACAATTTAAGAGCTTAGGCAGTTCATGTATTAATTAACCATCCAAGATAAATGCTCTATGAATACTGTGTTATGAGACCAAAGAAATTAAGTATACACAGTATATTCTTTAAATGCCCTTAAATATGCAAGGTCATGGGAATATTTTATTTTAATTCATCATTGCAAGGAGACCCCAGCCTCTGATTTATGGGGCTGTCCTGTGCTTAATAGTTTAACAGTGTGTAAGAAACTCATAAAAAGTAGATGAAAATTTAGGATATCAATTCAACTAGTGACAGGACACAAACTGTACCAAAATTAATGAAAAGAGACAGGAAGAAGAGGTTCACTGTGAATTGGATAGAAAGAGGCACGAAGTGGTCATGGTGTACTTAAAGAAGCTATCCTGGTATTCATCAGGATGGACTAAGAAAAATGAGGGAAAACTGCTGCATCTGTCAAACAGAAGACAGATGCTTTACTGCTTGATTTAATGTGCTACATCAGGATATCATTCTATTTCAGAAGTCTCAATAATTCCATGTCCTCTATCCCACATCCAGGTCGATAGGGGGAGGGGACAACAACAACAACTACTACTACTACTACTACTACTCACATGAGCAAGAAAACATTCTCCTATACAACTCCGATGTGGTGCATCCCACTCAACATGACTCTCCAAATCCTGCAGGAATGTTGACTGAAACTGCAACAGATCCTCCAAGTTGCCAAAGATGGTATCAATCTGCTGTGGTGAGAACATATCTGTCCGCCTCCGGCATTCAGCCAAGTAACCCTATGAGAAAGTAAATATTTTCAGTTTATCTGCAGGCAATCTAGATCTTACAGACTCTTTGCCACCTCACAAGTAAAAAAAGTAATCACTCAAACATCAGTCCTTGTTTCTGTATGATTATTTTATGTGTAGTTTCCTGTAAATGCTTGCATGTTCCTTGTACTTTATTCATGATATGCTCAGGGTAAGAGTGCTGAGAACAAGCAGGTAAAGTTGTCCCTATTAAGCACTATGCCATGAAGATATGAGGGTTGGACTTTAATAGTGGCAACACTTCTGAAGAGATGCCATGCAATGGAACCAAATAATGTCGCTTATACCACACGTTAGTTACATACCTACCTTACCTCAGAGCGAATGGACTCTCACTTCCCACAACATGTGCATGCGCAGTGACGAGAAGAACAGAGCCTTGTGTTAGCTGGTGGTCTAATGTAGTGTTCTCACAATGTTTTCAAAACAGGAACAATGGAGTCAGATAAAGATTGAATGTGCCAGAGGCTGTACAGCACGACAGTGTCATCAAGGTCTTCAAGAGGCTTGCAACCATCCACCATACTCCCTGGACTTAAGCCCTTGTGACTTCGACTTAATTCCTAAAATGAAGGAACCACTTCATGGCATTCACTTCAGAACTGTTCCAGAGATTCTTCAGGCAGCAGACCGCTCCATTCGAACTATCAACACAACAGGCGCTGCTAAAGGTATCCAATGACTTCCACTTCGCTGGCATCGGGTTGTACACAATGCTGGTGACTACACTGAAGGGCAGTAAAACTTTGAAACATGCATCTATTTTGTATCAGTTGTAAATAAATAGTTGCCACTATTAAAGTTCCAAACCTTGTATATGGGGGGGGGGGTGCGGGTATCGTTCCACCCTTCTTGATCTCAGCATCAGATGGAGATAAGTGGTCAGCTTCATGCACCAGCTGTTTTAGTTCTGGGGAAAGAGACCCCACATGCCCATTGGACAGGAGGCTGGGTGGGCCCCAGAGCCAGTCTGGACACCATGGAGAAGACAAAAATCTTTCCTCTGCTGGAAACCAAACCCCAGCCATCCTACCCATGGCCTATCACTATACTGACTCGCATAGAGCTGAATTTGTAATTAGTACGTCCTTATCTAGAGCAACAGTTTTCACATAACCATGACTGGGGTGACAGCCTCTGATTACACAATCTTCTTTTGTAGTTCTAATTATGTGTCTTCATAGATCTTCCAACTGAATAAGAAGGAACATACATCCATTTCCACTACCCACACTTGACATACAGTTATGTTGTACTGAGAATGTGTCTTCATCTAATGATGAAAATTGTTACATCTTCATTGGAAAGTAAGCAGATTCTACTCCAAACATTTGATGAGAATAAAAACCACCATACCAGAGGTCTCAGTGGATCTTCCACAAGATATAACACTCATCAGGATAATTCAGATGGCAGTATGAGTACAATTGTGAACATAACACACTTTTTAAAACACTGAAATACATTAAGTGTGCTCTGTTTCTAGGATCCAGAATAGGAGTTCACTTTATTTGGAATCCTATTAATTAGTTGCATGTCTGCATCAGCCTCTATGCCTAGCGGTCCTCTGACTGAATTATAATTATCAATAACAGCAATTAAATGCCTGATTCATGTGAAAGTTTGTATGAATGTCATGTCAATGCAAACCACAGTATCCTAATAATGTGCTACTTCCTGTCATCAATGCCAACATGGCGCTCAAGTGAACCTCTGATGCGTGAAAACAATAAAGAGTCTAGAAATGTTGCATGGTTATAGATCTCTGAATAATGTAGGCTGAATATTATCTGTCATAATCCAGGAGAAAACATGTGAATTGATTATTTTATAATTTACTTATTAACTTATATGAATACTGAAGAAATAACTAACTCCCTTACTTTGCAGCCAAGTTCCAGGTCAGAGATGATGCCCCAGACATAAAGATATGGAAGTGATAATGTGCTGCCTGGTCAGGGCTATTGCAAATCTCACAGGGAGGAAACAGATGAGTGTGGAGCAATGATGAAATCATGATTAGCAGAGGAAGGCCAAAGAAACTTGAAGAGAAACATGTTCCAGTATTTCATCAACCATGAATCTGACATGAAGTCACCCAGGACTGAATCTCAGGTTTTATGATGAGAAAGAGTCTTTTATAGTAAGAAGTTCTGGGAAGAACTAATTGCTCACTTTCTTTGGGTATGACATGGACCACATAGAAAATGATGTGTCCAACAATTCTTCTACTGTTTCATGTATTCGTTGCTGCAGGAACATGTTTACCAAGCCATTGACTAGTAATAATAGGGGAAAAACACACATACACACATAAAATCTGATATGAGGGATTTATGAAGCAGACTGCTGAGATGGAGTCAGGTGCCATGACATACATACCATGTTTCATAAAAATTGGTTCAGGCATTCGAAAGCTGAGGGGAAGGGGTACACAGGGACAGACACACACAGTCAGAAGTTAAAAACGAGCACAAATATTCACATCACCAATGGTGAATGCTTTTTAATCCTGTGAAGATTTCTTTCCTGAGCACAGGGTGGAGACAAACAATTGTATTTAAGATGGATGCCTTGATTCTCAGAGCTTGAAAACAGCTGGTGCATGGGTGTTAGAATTCACACTCTTTTATAGTAAATATGTATTTTGTTCAGAGTAATTAAAAGCACCTAGACTTTGATCGGTGCGGCCGTCTATATGAGATTCCTTAACTACACTGTAAGTTTTGGTTTGAAACCAGAGACAAGTCTGTCTTAATGTTATGTACTGCAACACCTTGTTCCCACAACAAGCTACACCCAACATTAGGTTCCAAGTGGTTAATATTTGTTTAGTAATGTATAACTGCTTCATTTGATGTTTCACACAGACATATATCAATATACAAGTAGTTTTTATATCAGAAACTGTATTACCTCAGCAACATCACGAAGAATCTTAACGAAGTCACGTTCTGTGTTGATAAGCTCACGCACCACACTGGAGCGCACCTGATCATTACTTAGCAGAGACACACTAGTTCGTCGCCTTAACTGCGTACTTGGAGTTGAGCCTGAGGCCATGGCTGCCAAACAGTCTTCTACTGTGTCTTCCTGACTCACCCGCAGCTGTAGAAACAACTTCCTTGTCAATTATACATACCAACTTTAATATTAACATCATCTCATACTTCACTGTCTTATCTATTGTAGTTTTATCTGATGCAGCTGTTCATCATAATTTGGTGGACTATTTTGTACTAATTAAGTTTATATTAAGTTAATATCACAAAAATACAAACAGAGATATCCAGCAGATAGCCAACTTTTACACGCAGAAGTGACATAGTTCAAGTTTTGCTATGTGGACAGGAAGTAACATCTGGTACATTTCCTGGAATTCTGGCAGTTTCAGGAAAGTCGGAAAGTCTTTGAGAATTTGAGAGCTCACAGCTTGGAACAGTTATAACTTAGAAGTGGGAGGGCCGGAGCCTCATCCCTGAACTTAATGCATCAAGTCGTTGTCAGCCTTAGCATCAGGTCAGCAACTGCCAGAATCACATAGCAGAGCAACATGATTGGAAATTCACAAATTTAGGGAACCTCCTAGTTTGAAAACTAAACCAATGGCACAGGTTGGAGGAGTGGATTTCTCTTGGAGTCTGTGGTTTGTGGACCTCAGGATTCAGAGAGAGGGCATTCCACCTCAAGGAGTCTTCATTCAACTTTCGGTCAAGTCAGACACAAAATACAACTACGTCCCTTCAGTAAAAGTATTATAAGTTAAAATCCAAATAAGTGTTACTAATAGAGTATGTTGTGTTCAGTGAGCTGAAGCTAAGTAAATAATTACTAAGTGCAAAAGTCTGAAGTGGTCTATGTGACTGTTGTGTAAGAATCTTCCTGCCCTGCCTGAGCCAGGCTCATAAGACCCTGGGATAAGAATTCATCTCTACCCATTACAGTTCATAACCCAGATACTCCCATCTTTCCCTACTTGCGGGACACCTAATGGTAGTACAGGAACAAACTCTCGCCTATCAGCACCAACAACCACAATTCTCCTCCCTTCCCACCTAACTTCTCGCCGTCCATGAGAAGAGGAAGGAGGGCAGTAACTCCAGTGGAGGTGTCCAGACATGAGGTGCAGGTGAGCCGCGGCACAGGGATAGGAAGGGCTAGAGGTAAAGAACTAATAAGTGACGAAAAGTCAGGCAAAAGGCAGTCACAAGTGGTGCCGAACGTAAGGGGCAGAACAACAAAGGAAGAGGGGTGACACTATCTGTTTATTTATTTATTTACTGGGAGCTCTGATTCATGTATTTACAATCCAATCATAACACCCGAAATTTATAAAATATAAAATGCAAGTTCAAGAAGTTCTAAATAAGCATTTCTCATGAAAATGACAAGTGATGAGACAGACAGACTACTGTTATTAGATCCACCTGTAGCCAGTGTATTTTCATTCAAGATCTCACACAGTACTATTACCAATTTATTATATAAAGAGAATATTAAATCTAAACATAAATGTTATACAAATGACACCACATTAAACGCCTAATCCTTGCTGATGACTAGATAATCATGCAAAATACTGAGGACAACATACACAGAGCTATATACAAAGTAATGTAAATCTCCAGGAATATAACACAAAAATATCTTCAAGCAAGACAAAAATATTAGGATTTGTAATAAAAAAAAAAACATCCCAATAGAAGTCAAAATGATAATCAATGGACAGACAGATAATATCAATCACCTAATGAAAGGTTTATGTTAATACAAAATTGCATAGGTTCTAAAATATATGTGAAAGAATAGGAAAAATCTGCACAAAAAAACAGAGTGGATCACTCCTTTAACTGTATTAACTCAGTAATATGGATGAGAATGGTGGACTCTGACAGCAGAAGCTGCAGAGAAGTTTTCCAATAGCAGTAGCTGGATTACTTGTTCAAAGTGTAGTGTACGAGTGACTATATACAGGGTTTGGATTGGTAGTTGGATTTAGTGAATACTTATAGAACGTAACTACAAATAACTACGACAGTCTCACTGAGTTACACACTCCAAAGATCACTGACTACAGCACGCGTAAAGTCTTCTCAGTTTGTTGTGTCTTCACCAGTCTTTTGATTAACATCTTCCAATGGCAGATTTTCTCCTTCCTCTGGGTTCCTGAAATGTATCCGGCCTCAGCTACCTGCTTCAAACAGCAATTCAATTATAAAGGTACTGAACCTTGTTGCTTTCACCCTTGCCGTGGAGTGCTTCCTCTTTAGCCTTTGGAGTTTCCTATCCGCCATGTCGAGTTGTGAGGGTATCTCCAAGTATGATCTCACAAGCTAATTGATCATCTGTATGGGGTCTGTTGAAAGTCAGAAGTCAGAAATATTGACAGAGCCAAGTTGAAGTCAGTGACCGTGGGTGTTTGTTTTCTCCTTTCTCTTGAAGTCTTGACGTCTAAATGTGTCGTGAGACAATCTACTGCAATCCTTCATCTACCAGGTTTCGGCACCAAAAATGTTGTGAAACATGACCTTGAGGCATATTCTTGTAATGTCACTTTATTACTCAACGCTGTAACTACTATTCAACGTAACTATAACACAAAATGTTGAACAAGTCGTGTCACAGTCCTTTCATGTTAACTACTTCACTAGAATGTCAAACTGTGGAACTGTCGAACTGTCTGTGCTGGCTAACCACTGGCTTCTGTCAGCACCACTGCCACTGTCGGCTTCCACTGGCTTCTGTCAACACCACTGCCACAGCCGATATATATATATATATATACATCAGGCAAGTGGGAAACGTCGCCTCCAGTAGCACATCTACCGTTATATCAGAGCGGCGCAGTGTTTACTGGCAATGCATGTGTTATCGCGTCACGCTGGGTCCACGATTCCCAACAAGGTCACTGGATTCTTTTCAATTGACCCAATCCTTCCAGCCTCAATATGGCCCTGGGATAAACTCAGCCTCTAACAGAAATGAGTACCAGGAATATTCTTGAAATATTCTTGGGGGTACGGGGCAGCTGGTGCGTAAGGCTGACAACCTTGCTGCCATCTAGAAAATGTGGGAACCTCAGCATCTCACAACCCTATGGGCCTCCACAGCCTGTTACAGGGAAACCTTAACTTTTTTTTTTTATTTTTTATGTGTTCATTCAACAAATGATAGTTCTCCCAGCCCCCACTAGCAGTACTATTCATTGCCATTTCTCATGCAGGTGGCATTACTGTGGGGCTAGTTGAATTTGTCATCTTGTTACAGTATATGTAACCAAAATCTTTCTTCCATTATTCCACTATGCTGCCTAGGAATACTCATACTCCCATGCAAGTATTAAAGTGAAAATGTGTTCTTTTGACTTTTTACTGAGTTTCTTCTGTATCAGCTTCTCTCCTGTAACCAGCACACCCCAATCCTCATACATGCCAAGTTATGGAGAATTTGCTGTATTTACAAACACCGATTTCAAAGGAAATTTATATCCTCTGTAGGAAAGTTGCATTGAAAGACAGAAACGCAGCATCCATATAATAAGACATACACAGCATATTTCTCTTCCAGAATTATCATGCAAAAGCAAGTAAGGCACATCTCTTGGTTACTCAGACAGGTTACTAGACATTCTACTGACTTACCCTAACGAATGCTGCAGGAAACCAGCCACTATCTTCATTTCTTGATCCCCACCACCAATCTCGGTCCATTGTATCAAGCACCTCAATGACATCGCCGGCACGGAATGCCAACTCTTCGGGCTCCATGGCAACATGATCCCATACTGCTTCTGCCAGAATTGTCATATCTTCATCCATTGCCTGTTCACCAACATAACAAAACGGCAGATGACATTTTCTAAGTCAATTTGAGACAATAATGCTCCTATATCATTATCAGTGAGTGATAATATTACTTAAATGCTAGCAGAACACATGATAATAGAGAACATATTGTTTTGGGGAGATATGGGATTTTAGTTAAGGCAGTTAATATTATGCGCTGCTGCTTGTTATTTCACATACAATACACAACATCAGTAGTTTAGGGAATCTGAGCTTTCCTTTACAATTTCTTGTGCCTGAATGTAAGAACTTATAAGGCTATGTCACTTCACGGTTTATCTGATGAAAACAAAGAGTGAACTAAAAGGAGTGCAGGAGAAGCTGCTTTAAGATAATAAAAGAAGTTCAAGTTCAAAAAATGTTCAAAAACTGAAAATATTTGTCTATTTAACACATTAAAGATTAAGATGCATAAGACAATCATCTTGTGCTGTTTTATATGGCTATGTAATGGAACCCATTTCTCTGTCAGAAGAATAAAAATTGCAAACATCTGAAAATAAAGTNATTTACGCATGTATAGGCCGCGTGCGTGTATAGGCCGCAGCACAATTTTCAGACACAAATTATAGAAAAAATAATTTTCTTGGAATATTATTTCAGGAGTAGAAATTATTCCAAAATTTGGCAAAGTTTAATTTTTTTTAAATGAAGTGTGATTCCGAATATTTTGAATATAAGCCGCACCCCAGTTTTCCTCTTGAATTTTTGGCAAAAAATGTGCGGCCTATACATGCGTAAATACGGTATATACAAAGAAGGACACAGAAGGATAACATTAATAAGCATTTTACAGACCCAAACTATGAGGTTTTCAATTAGACCGAAGTGGGTGAGGTTTGGGTCCCATCGGCAACTTCAGTCTTAGTGATGCTGGAGCTTTAAGTTCTATTAGCAAGGTTAGTGAATTCAAGTTTCTACAATCTGAGCATTCATGAATGGACATTCTACAGATATGTCATTGCGAAGAATATATTTTAAGCACTAAAGGTCAACATATATGATTAAAAGCTAAATATAAAAAAGATAACAACGATTATTGCGAGAGCTGTAAAATACATCAACCCACACATGGAAGTTAATAGGTTCTTTCTTCACATGTTAAACAAGCTTCAATAAACACATACAATTCGACCACTTTGTCACATACCTGTTCAAATGACTTCTTCCTATCAGTGAGTGAGGCAATAGATGACTCTGAGTCAGACATCATGTCATCATCAGATGTGCCCATTCCACCTCGGCCATCATGTTCATCCTCACTGAGTACTGTGTTGGATGTTCGCTGAACTAATGGCGTACCACTACCTGGCTTTCGACGCATCAGAGGCGACAGTTCATTTAGTCCAAGTGGTTGACTGATGGACCTTCGTAGTTGGGGACGTCTTGATCTTCGCTTAGAACTGGAATTGAAAGGCATAAAAATATCCAAAAATTCTGCATAAAAGAATGATGCCTGATTACTATTGTATTACTTCAAATATAAGATGCATCCATTTCTTTAATGTGGGTTTTAGGGAAAAATTAGAAAGATGCACATTCCTCAAATTTAAAAAGCACCTCAAATTTTCAATGGGAGTAAATGTGTAAAATGTGCGTCTTATATTGATTCTTATGTAAAGCTTCATTAAAGCCTATTAGTTGTGCACTTTTGCAATGGTGTATATGCAGTACAATATCATTTACTAAAGTAATCCTTTATTTTCAGCAAACCAAACTATAGCAGTTGTGTCAATGGGAATTATGTTCATTGTTCTGTGCAGACTTCCAGTATGCTATCTTGCTCTGAGCTCTTTATAAACATTAACTCTGGGAGGGTATCTGATCATGCCATTCAAGGTCATTAAAATTTCATCAGCAATCAGGAGTCAATGAGTTCTAAAGATATACTATAATAAATGAAGTGATCCCTCCACTTAATTCATTAAAAGCAATGCTCTGAAGGTGTATAGGGGAGTGGAGATATGGCTTGTTTTAAGGAACCAGCATGACATTTGCCAGGACTGAAGAAATTACAAAAATTCTGTCAGCAGAGCTAACAGACCAGGTTTGAACCAACCTCCTGAAGAGAAATCTATACAAGCTATATAACTACAACAACCAGCTCAGCAAAATATATATATCCTTTTTTTTCAATAAAGTAGATATCTAATTAAGCAGGATCACAGAAATCAACTCCCTGGGTTTAAAATCCTATCTTATTCAGTTTGAGAATTCTGAAGTCTGAAATTACAGAGTGGTGCATGAAATGATCCAGTATTTGATCTATTAATGAAATCTTTATTTCAATTACAATTACTAACATACAAAAAGAAAGACATTTGCATGGAGATTTATCCTCTGTGAATCAAGTGATCAATATGACCACCATTACATCTGGCAAATTCTTCAACACCAACTGTGATGTTGACTACTCGATGGTGAATATCCTAAGTTATCTCACTGCAGGCCTGAATGATTACTGCTCTCAACTCCATTACTGTTTGTGACTTTTTTGGAAAAATCTTTTCCTTAAGGAATTCCCAAAGAAAGTAGTCACATGGGTTTAAATTGGGACTATTCGGGGGCCAGTTCTTTTCAAAAGGAAAACGATCAGAAAATCGGTTTGAGATGCCATGCGAGTCGAGAGTGACATGTAGAAAGACCAAAACAACACTCACAGAGGGCATCCTGGCTCCATCCTACACGAACCACTGAGTTCGTAACAGCAACCCTGTAGCAAGAAGATGAGGCAGAAAAGTATTGCACGTGCTTAAATAGCGCTCATTATTCATTGTCTCTTCAAAGAAATTGGCCCTAGCAGTCCATGACTTAAGATGGTGTCCCACACCTTAATTCTCAGTGCACGATGCACCTTCTAATGAATCACACGTGGGTTCTCTGAGGCCAAAATCATGCATTCTTTTTATTAACCACACCATCCAAGTGGAAGTGTGCCTCATCAGAAAACCAAATATTGTTGAACGATGCCTCATTATTCTGAACCCATTCTGCAAATGCCATTCTTTGATGCTTGTTTTGATTTTTAAGTTTAGGCAACACTGCCATTTTGTACAGATACAAATTCAAATCACTTTTCAATATTTGTTCCACCATTTGTCTGGATATCCCTAGTTCTGCTGCGGCCTTCCTTGTGGATTCACTGAGGCTTGTTTGCAGTGCCACTCGGATAGCATCAACGTTCTCTGGAGAACACACAGATGAAGGCTGGTGTCATATCCTCTCCAACACTGAACCATCATTATTAAACTGGTTATAAAGTTTATGAATGAAGGTGCCCATCGTGTTTGAAAATGGGCATGAAACTACCTCTGTGTGACCACAACACTTCTTGTTTCAGCAAAGAACAATACTGTCTTTATAAGCTGTTCTACAGACAGTCTTCCTTTGTCAGCCATCCTGTGCGAATTGGTGCATGAGCAGGAACAGCGAGCTCTGGAAGAGTAAGAACTAATCTCTATGAACTACTGTAGGTGTTACCACATTAGAAAACATCGGTCATTGCATGGTTGAATAATTAATACTAACTCAAATACTAGATCATTTCATGTTATCCTGTAGATTGTAATATCACTTTCAAATTATCAAGTTGTATCCAATAAAAGAATCCTTTTAAATTAATGTATATGAACACATGACAGACACCACCACTAAATTCAGTTTCTTTTCTTGAGTTTCAGAAAGTTGAGATTGTCATACTACTCGTATGTCCAGCACTGTAGTAGAAGTGGTTTCTGTGAGTGTTAATCTGTGCCCAATTGAGGGTATGAAAGTATCAAATTACTCAGTGATCCACATTTCATTCCAGTATATAAATTCATCCTGCTGCAACTGGAACTTTTTCATCAAAATTAGTTTTTCAAACGAAATATGAAACTAACTGCAAGAGTGGCCTGTACGGAAACATAACAGAACTTATATATTTTTTTAAGTATTTTTGTTGTGACAGAATCAGAAATTAAAGGAAAACTACTAACCTTCTTAGAGTAACTGCATCAGTGATAGTAGGGTGTGGTGGGCTAGAGCGTGGAGGGCGCATCTTGATAGGTGAGGGCGTGGAGTACATGCGTCGGTATATGTTACGCAAGTCCCAATTGAATAGTCTCTGGCCACCCAGGTCTGAATGGGTTCTCCTCACTTGCTGATGACGATTCTGTGCACGGGTCTGTAGATCAGCCTGAAATAATTGTTAAAAATTTTGGTGGTTGATTTTTAAAGGTGAAAATGTGAAAATAACTATGAAATCTGAAGTCAAAAACAACAGCCTGGGTCTTGAGGAAACATTTCATTCATGAATGTGGCCACAGAAACTTTTTGCATAGGAATCACTAATATAAATTCTCAGTTTTGAAAGGATCGGTACTAACATTTTAAGTTCATCTGGAAAATTTTCACTGTGTCACCATCACCATACATCTAATTAAAAATGATAAATAACTCCATGGAGCTGAGCCCTTCTTGAGAAGCTGCCAGTCAATTAGCTACTCAAGAAATTCCCAACATTTTATGGAACCCACAGTTTCATTACTGTATTCACAACAGCCCTTCACTGGTCCCTATCCCAAGTCAGATCAATCCAGTCAATACTACTCCATCTTATCTCTTAAGACCCACTTCAATATTACTCTCCCCCCTATGTCTAGGTCTTCCTAATGGTCCCATTCTTTTGGTTTTCCCCAACACAATCCTACTTTCATCCCTCTTCTCTCCCTTCAAGCTACATGTCTTGCCCATCTCATGCTCCTTGACTTGATCTTTCTAATCATACTTGGCAAAGACTACAAGTTATGAAGCTCCTCATTATGCAGTTTTCTCAAATCTCCTACCACTTCACCCCTCTTCAGTCCAAATATTCTCCTCAGCACTCTGTTCTCGAACACCCTCAGTTTATGTTCCACCCTTAACGTAGAAGACAAACTTTCATAACTGTACAAAACCACAGGCAACACTGTAGTTTTGTATATTATAATTTTCATGCTTTTAGACAGCAGATGACAAGACAAAAGGTTCTGGGCTGAATGGTGGCAAGCACTACTCAAATTCAACCTCCTCTTAATTCCCCCCTGAATCAAATTTTTGTTTCTTACAGTCATTCCAAAATATTTTAACTCCACCACAGTTTCAAAGGATCTATTAGCTATCATCATGTTATGATTTTGCCTTGCATTCTCTTTTTCTCTACATTTACTTCTAGACCGACCTCCTTACTGGAATCAATTAGAGTTTCTCTGTTTTTATTTATGGTATCTATATTATTTCCCATTTAATTTCAGTCCCACCTGCTTTTCCTGAACCTTCTTAATGGCATATTTTAAAACAAAGTTGAAAAACAGTAGTGATAAAGCATCTCCTTGATTTAGACCATTTTGGATAGGATACAGACAAATGTTTGCCTATACAGACTTTACTATAGGTTTTATTTAAACACATTTTAACCAGCCTAACCAGTATCACAGGTAACCCTAACTATATGAAAATACTGTACAATACTTCCCTTCTAACTGAATCATAGGTTTTCTTGAAGTCTATGAACAGATGATGTACTATCTCATTACTCTCCCAATCTTTCTCCAGTATCTGACGAATGCAAAAAACCTGATTAGTAGTTGATCTGTTCCAAAGAAACCCACACTGATGATCCACAATAATTTCATCTATGTATGGACTTAACGTTGAGACAGCGATATTGGATACAATTCTTTATGAAGCTGATAACAGTGGTGGACAGGAACTGTATCAGATAATGTTTACCTAAATGTACTTTACTACAGGTTTCATTTAAGCACATTTTAATCAGGCTAACTAGTTTCATGGGTGCCCAAAACTCTATGGGAATACTGTATAATATTTCTGTCATAACTGAATCATAGGCTCTCGTCGAGTCTATTAGTAGCTGATGTACTGTCTCATTGTAATCCCATTTATTTAGTCAGACAGCTGGGAGAATAAAGGTATTAAATCATAACCCTCATTTGAGGTTATGTGGGAAACAGAAATATAAAACCAATAAATCATTGTTTAGACAAAATTCTGAAATTCATAATTTT